TGGTTGCGCCTCACTCAGATTTCTTATCAACAAGACTTCTTTGATAGCCTTTTACAGAGTTGGATCCTGAGGAACATCCATAGGGAGCACACTGGCCTTGATTTTGCCATCATTTGCTGGTCTCTTTGGAGGACCAGAAACGACCGCGTCTTCGCAGACAAGTTTGTCACCACTTAAGCTTTTCTACAGCACGTCCTGGCTTGGATAACTGTCGCGAGGAATGTCATGGACAAGGACAGGCTCGTTCATACGCCTAGTCTGCCCGCTAGAACAGAGGTTGAGATCTCATGGAAGCCGCCACCTTCGGAGTGTGTTACTCTCAATTCAGACGGCTCCGTCATTCCTTAATCAGGCCATGCTGCAGCTGGTGGCGTGATTAGAGATCATACAGGATGCTGCCTTGTAGCATTCGCTTGTAACTTGGGTGTTTGCTCGATCACTCGAGCGGAATTGAGAGGTGTTGTAGAAGGTCTCCAGTTGACCTGGGAGCGAGGCTTTCGCCATGTTCGCGTCGAGCTAGATTCACAGTGTGCAGTCCTGATTTTACAGGGCCTGGAACGCATGGATCATCACCATGTTGCCATCATTGACCGCTTCCAAAATTTACTTGCCCGTGACTAGGAAGTTTCTTGCTATCATATTTACATAGAGGGAAATAAGTGTGCGGATGTTTTAGCTGACAGGTGTCACTCTCTTCCCCTAGGTTTTCATCTTGTTCCAGCTTCGGATCCTTTGTTATCGGTTTACACTTTATATGAATGTCAAAGCCTCTCTGAGTCTCGTCTTGTTATGAATAAAAGCTGAGATGCCTCACGTCCATTTATAAAAAATAAAAATAAAAAACTCTTATCTTTTTCTGATACCTGCGCATCTGAATTTGATTAACGATGTTGGGCTCGCAGGCCGCTAGTTAAGAACTAGTGCAGTTCGCTAACTTTATTTAGTTGGGCTTACATCTTCGTAACGGAATGACGGATCTTCTATGGGCTGGACTCTTTGTCTTTGGTCACTGGAGCTGATTAAACATGGCCCAACTTATTTTGAGTTTTTCATTTGCCTTCCGTAAGGAGGGATGGGAGCAACCGAGCAACTACACATCAAGGCTACAACACCTTTTGATCTTTGCCATTTCTTAATCCCAATCAAAAAAAAAATATATCAAATATAATTTCACACCTTGTACTGACATATTTATGATTATAAAACTTGTAAATCTTGATGATAATTGATTCATGGAATAGATAATAGAACCACTTAATTAAGATGGGAGCTTTGCACAATTTAGAAAGGGAGAAGGGGTAGCAGAAGTCTTTCAGTGGGCATATTATCCAAATTAATCAACCAACCAATATCCTAATCTAGCAAGGACTAAGAATATAGGAGGGTGAATAGTGAGAAAGAAATAGTTTACTAGGAGTAGACAGGTCCTTAAGTAACAGATGTAGAAGTTTTGGATACGCTAAAATGTTGCTAAATTGACGAGATAGACAAATTCGATTTTGGTACGTATGTGAGAATTAGAATAACAGTTTGGTGATAGTAGTCCCCCTCCCCTATCTAAATATTGGAAACCAACGAGGGAAGGGAAGGGAGTGAAGTGGAGATTTCATTTTTAAAGCCCTTTAAGTAAAGAAAGACCCATAATTTATTCCCCCAATCTCATGATTATCCTAACAATAGTAAATAATAATAATGCCAACATTAGGGGTTCCGTAGGATATAACCTTTTTATTCATCATCTTAGCTCTCTCTTCCCTCTCCTCCTTGCAGATTGGTCATAATTATGGAAGAATGTGGAAAATCGAATTTGGCTATTGTGATAATATTGGATCACTTATTATTCATCAATACGTCTTGTGAGTTAAATAGGAACACAATGGAGGAAGCCAGGGTGTACTCATAGCCCAATTCCTAAAAGTTGCGTCGGTAGATGAGGTATGTCGAGACTAGTAATGCCAAAGTTATTTGGTATTAATCTGAAGCGAGAAACAGCGACGGTGAGAGGGTCCAACAAATTTTTATTGGATTTTCATATTCATATACTCACTTCCACGTTTCACAAATATGATATAGGTGAGCCCTTAAGCTCTCTTTCTATTCCTTTTCATTCACACTATTAAAAACCAGAAGATTCATTAGGTGTTCGACTCACACAATCTACCATTTAAAGGGAACTTCTTTACTTACCTAGGAATGCCGTATGAGTGTATGTTCAATTGCTAGTTTTCGAATATATATAGTACTCGGTATAATCTTAAGCATATATATCGGAATCCTCAATCATAAAAAAAATGTGAATAACATGTTAAAATCGATTTCTATAAGTCATAAGGTATCCAAAGATTAATCATCCTAATGCAAATACAATGGGTGTTATGAAACAATTCAACTACCACATTGGTAATATAAGGGAAGGAATCCTTGTATATTAGTGTCCACCTAGCCCAATTAATACGAGACCTTTTGAGGAGGACACCCAAGAGTAAAACCGTGCGGGTTTGGCCCAAAGCGGACAATATCATACTAATTGAGCTCCCTGGTTTCGACAAGTGGTATCAGAGTCTAGTTCGTGTGCAGGGCGGTGGACGTAAATTTTGTGTGACCCTCTTTTGAGGAGGACACCCAAGAGTAAAACCGTGCGGGTTTGGCCTAAAGCGGACAATATCGTACTAATTGAGCTCTCTAGTTTCGACAAGTAGCATCAGAGTCTATTTCGGGTGCAGAGCGGTTGACGTCAGTTTGGTGTAACCCTCTTTCGATAACCTCAGATCGAGAAACCCATCGATATATGGTGTCTGGTTGTAATACAATATCGTAGCTCCTGGGATTCACTCTTTTGCGAACTTACATCAAATCTCTTTGAACACTTTAAAGGCACACAAAATGGGGGGATTGAAACAAAGAGGACCAAATAGGAAGTGGACAGGTGGAGGTAGGGCAGACACATACTTGTACAACAAGACTCTTTTGACGACCCCAGCACTAGCTACTACTTTACTCCATCGCTTTGTGTTTAGTTAAAAACATTAGAAAAGACATCCACATAATTAAAGACCATATATATAATTAAAAAAAACTTCAAGACTGTTTGCGGCATATATTGCAACATTCCGATCATTTTCCTTATTAAAATATTGTTCGATTTAATTCTACACTTGCATGGTTTTGCTTTTGGTGCGTCATGATAACTTACCATAAGGCTACTTATCTATGCACTGGTTAATATGGAGCATGTTTAACTTCAAATTTCTTACAAGAACTCTTTCATTTCACGTTAAAACGCGTCTTGTTAGTTAATGTTGGATTGTTTCTTATAAACCATGTGTTTTGTCGATGTAGGATTTACCTACGGTGTTACATATAGTATTGTTGAACGATATCAGAATTTTTTAATAAATTGAGTATTGAAATTAATAGGGTTTGACATGATATTAGAGCTTTTATTTGAAAATGTTGTGTTTGGGTTCTTATGACCTCAAATATTAATTTCCAGCACAAGGTATGGTGATTTTTTTGCAAAACTCAAACCAATTAATTGTTTTTACTTGAGAGGACAAGTAAAGAAGTGGCATAAAATCCTTATTTGAATACGTACCAATAAATTTTCCGACAAATTTGCAATATAATCCCAAGAAAGAAGAAAAGGTCGAGAAACAAACCGTGAACAGAGAGAAGTTATATGCCACATTTCACAAATGTGCTAGCACTATGAAATTCGAGTGATTTAAGAGAGTTGTAGAAGACGAGTTGAGTTTAAAATCCGACACCACGATAACTAGATTAGTCTTGTGTTAACAATTAAAACACTCCATCAAAAGAGTTTACCATCAAAACAGAAAATCCTAAATTATTAAATAAATATAAGAATGATTATGACTTGCTTATTGAAAGCCCTAAAAGGAATGAAAGAAATGAGTGGAGAGGCTTGAGGTGGAAGTGTGAAAAACAGTGGTGATTGGTGGGGGTGGGGAGAAATGAGAATTGGGTATTTTTGGGGTTTTGTTTTCTTTCTGTGCATAAAGGAAGAGTTTTGTGATACCGACATTGTACCCAACACCAGAAGGTGAATCGCATGATTCACCACCAATTTTTTAATAAACAAAAAATACACATCACTTAGTGTATTGTATTGTTCCCTAAACGTAATTATTTGTTTAGTCGTTGATAAATCTGTGTTATATATTAATTCATGTTTAATAAATTAGATCAATGCATAGATGGTGTGTGTGTGTTATAGTATTCATACCATACGAGTGCAATGCATAGTGAAGCTACTTAGCTACATCGTCTTTTAATTTACCAAGTACTTCATCGGTATTCATTGTGGTTATGTAATTCTGAGTGAGTTGATTCGGGTCTCGTGACTCATTGGCTATACTTCCCTTGTTTTGGTTTACACTTGATCTGATTTTTTACCATGATACTTGCGGTTCGATCGGTGGTATTTGTGCAAGCATCACTAAGGTATTTTTGTTTTCCAATTTTTTCCATTTACCCTAAATGTTGTTACATTTTCTATCTATAGAAAAATGAAAATATATACTTATATTCTTTTATGTCCACAAAATTTGGCTCTGGAAACAAAGTCGAACTTTAGCACATGTAATAAGAACAACTTTATTTCACTTGTGAAAAAGCACAGCAACAAGGCCACATCAGAAAGTTTAAAACAAGATAAAAAAAAAACCGACATTTCAATCGAGAAAACGAGCAAAGTTCGTAAGAAAATAAAATTAAACAATCGACTCTATCATCAAAATCACACCAAAAAAAAACCTCCAATTGGGTTTTGTTGAAGTTGTGTAAAGAAAGAACATCCATATCTAGAACACCTTTGTGGTGTGTGTAGTAATGTGTAGGTGTACATATTCACCCAAGTCTAAGCAAACACCCCCTTTGGCGGTTCCCCTGTCCCTTTAATTTTTTTTTCTTTTCTTCTCTTTTTAAAGGTGAAAAGTATTGTATATTTTTCTTCTTCTTCTTCCTATTCCTCTTCCTCTCCAATAATAAAATTGGTAGGCACCTACAAAACCGAGAGCAAGCTACCCACACCCAACCTTTTCTTCTTTCACCACCCACAAAAAAACTAGATGGGGTGGCTTCAATCCCTCTTCTCCCCATTGAAGAAGCTCTGGTTCCGCCTCCACACCACTTCCAACAACAGTACGTAGCCTCTTCCTCCTTCTCCTCACTCTCGTCTCTCTTACTTACTTCTCCCACAATTGAAGCTTCATTACTCTGTTTCTCCCATTTCATCATCGTCATCGTGCAATTCGTCTGATCGAGCTTTTCTTTTCGCTTCGCAGGAAGAGGGATATACATTTTGTACGATGATGTGAAGTCGTGCTCGTACGAGGATGTTCATGTTCTGTGGTCGATACTGGTTGAGGCCAATTCCCCTCACATTCTGCAGCCGCCGCCGCAGCCATCAAAGCAATGAGCAGGGGAAGTGAACATCGAAAAACACTCTTCATACCAGTACAGATTGCAGAACTGAATCATGGTGATGGCGGAAATGAGACACACATCCGAGCTTAACCCACTCTTATCTTTTTGTACATAATGATTATATCGTGTATTTATAATTGTGTTTTATTACTATATACACAAACACCCCCCATCTTTTTTGGTTCTTCCTCTGTTTCCTCTGTTTTTTGGGCTTTCCCATGCCCTTGTTTGTGAGTTTAAGCTTCTTGTCACGGTATGAACTTACATACTAGAGAAGAGAGAACAAAACAACAAACCTTTCTTGTATATCCTTTCTTCTGGCGTTTTTGGGATTTTCCATGGGAGCAATGCTTAAACGGAAATGAAAACCCTAAAAGGGGCATTGGATGAACGGAAATTTGGTGGGGTGGATCATTGGGGTTGTTGTTAGATTGTGTTTCTAGATTTCTTCTTGATAGTTGCTTTGTCAGTTTCAGCAGTTGAGAGACGGTTTGTCTCTTCTTTTCTTCTTTTTTCATGTATGGTTACTGAAGTTGACTTGCGAAAAAAGATATCTGTAGGGATTGGACAGCACATGAATTAGAACCCCATAATTTACTACATCTGCCTTTTATGTGATTATGAATGAGGTTTTCAATTTGTTTTGCCCTAATTCTTTCAACCATTGCCAATCCTTGATGTGCCTTTCTTCACTTCACTTCACTCCGTTCATTCATATTGATTGGTTTTGAGCTTCATCTACTACCATGTCTGAATCTAATTGCGATTCGCGATGATGGTGGTGGTGGTGGAAGAACTGAATCGAAGAAAAAGATATCTAACGGGAATTGAGACTAATAATAACACTCCTATATCACAAGAATACAATAATCTCAACTATACATGTTATAGAATGAGCAAATCAAAGTCACTAAAAGGTCAGTGGTCAACAATTTGATGTTATTCAACACGATTGAATTGAGATTAATGTCTAACATCTGAACTATGATTATTCGAATGTAATGTAATTCTTTAAAATTCACTCTTGAATTACAATAAAAACAACTATTTTACCTTTGGAGTTTGGACTACTACCATTGAGGTTACTTCTCTTTGTCATTCATTTGATTAGACATTGAATTAAAGTTGGGTTTTGGTGATTAATGACACTAGAGTACTAAGCCAGGTGTTGGTTAATACGTAGCCGTGTAGGTAAAGCTGAGTATTGGTAGTCAAGCATCTTGGTAGTCGCTGTCCATTACTGTCCACGTCACTTTTAAAAAAAATCTTGACCAAACCTTTTGAAGAGGACGATAATGAAGAAAAAAGGTAGCTTCTTCCTTGTTTAGGCCGAACACAACACCCTGTGGAAAGTCCAACAAATACACCGCCCAGGCAATTAGGCATCATGTCAACAAACAGAAATCGCACACCACACTGATAATGATAAAACAAAGAGTTTTCAATACAGCAAACTGCTAAATCTGAGGCGTTTGATTCCAATGGTAGAGCTGTCGGTTCACTCATGTGGTGGGCGATTTTAATGCAGCGCTGGAATAAATTGGGCAACAGGATAGTAACTAACGAACTAATAACCGACGGGGATGTTACTTCTTCAGGGTTACTTCAAAGTTTGAACGCCTCTCTCTCTCTCTCTTTGGTTTTCCTGGAGAGAAAAAAAGCCAATCATGAATTGGTGATTAGCATCTGTAAAGTAACTGAAGTGCTGCGAGACGGAATGTAAGAGCTAAAGGAAAAGGCTGTTCGCGTCGGTGATTGTCGGAGAAGCTTCTGCAATGAGATGGATGAGTTTCTACTTCAAATGTCTGTGCTTTGAGCTAGAAGCAGTGTTCGTGATACTGTACCGGCTAAACTACTTGCCGCTGACAAAGCCAGCATGGGTTTATCACAAGAGTCATATGGCGATTAACCTGGCAACATCAGTTTTTGCATGGAGATCGCAGGAGTCGTATCTACTATTATTAGAAGAGTAAAAGAGTTGCACTTGTGACGAGTCTAGCCGAATAAACGTAGAAAGACGTTCTAGAATGAATCTCAATTCGCAAGCTAATAAAGGACAAGCTGAAGGTTGAAGTGACATCAGAACTGACATTTAGGTTGAAACAAAGAGAAATGAAAGTACCAATAGCCATTCATCTACAGAGACAGGACTTGTATAATTACCCAAAATCCCAATTCATAAAAGATGCTCCACCTACCAATGAGTACATTGAGCAGGAATTTTGTTACTCACCAGGATATTGTGTATCATTTTGGAGGCTTTCCCACTAAAATGCAGCATCTTATAAGGCAGAAGGGGATGTGTGGTCAACTACACTCGGTAACCAGTCTTTAAAGTATGTGTGGCAACCTACGTCAGCAGGGGAAAGAGCCGAAAGGGGAGTTACAGTAATCTGAACCAGAGAGGAATAGCAAGATAGTCAATGTCTTTCATATTACAATTCACAAATTTATGTGAAAAGCAGATAATAGATTAAGTTATAACACGTACATATCCATCCTTGAGATATTTGTGGTCCGTATCATCTTCAACAATTTGAGCTCCTCTTACCTGAGAAATCAAATTCAAGTAAACAAATCTTATCTTTCTAAAAATGTAACAGTGGAACTTTGTTTGGTAAAGAGAAAGGAACTCCCACTTTCTAAGCTGCAAGAGGAATATAAAAACTCTGGTTAAAAATGATTAAGGTATGGAAGAAAGGGACTGACTTCTCGTTTGAAGACAAGATTTCCTTGTGATGCATCATCCGTTGTATCAGCCTCCGCTTGCATCTTTCCATCTGTATCCATTGTCATTGTTGACAACATTTTCCCTCCTTGTGTGGTAGAAGTAACTTGCTTCCATCCCATTCTATATATGCTTCTACTTTGTCTGGTGAGCTTATACCCCTATTCCAACGAATGAGAGAACACACCCCAGAATTATGAAACGATGTGGCTTGAAATAGATTGTCAAAGAAGTCATAGTGGCAGGCAAACGGTATCAGACCCCATAACCCAATGTAAACAGTCTAGCACACCTAAACCGTAAGCAAGCCTTTGAGATCAGTTTCCCCCTTTCCTCCGGACATTTTATTGTCATCAGATTCAAACATAAAGCGACTACTGTGAACCCGCTCTCCAGACACATCAGCAAGAATAAAATCAAGGTGTATCACAAAGGCAGGAGGTGGAGTAATCCTCTATAAGTTTCATATTCAAAGGTGTTATGCTTGAAATTACCTTATGCTGGGTAACATTTGTGGGCAAGTCTACATTCAAGAAGCACCCAGATGGATATTTTTTACTTTTAACTTCAGCAAGTATGCCTGTTATAATTGGTATACACGCCTCAGCAGCAAGAGTGAAGTCTTCAACACTGCTCTTCCCCCCAACCCTACAGATGCGGAACAGTTAGGAACATACAAACTAATTAGTACTCTGCAATCTGTTGTCACAAATCTGGTGTAGTTAGATTAACAGTAAATAAATTTACCACAATATGGGAAAGATAATTGTACATAGAGTGTATCTTACCAATCATATGACACGGAGATGGAAGGGATGTCGTTAAAGAAGGCCTCACGAGCGCCAGCAACTGTGCCGGAGTACACACTGGCATACCAAACAAGGGACTCATCAGTATAGAAATGCGGTAATCATAGCCTCCCGTAATTTCTAGGACTTCATGTTTAAATACTTTGCTAAGTGCACCAGATAAAAATCAAGAAAGTGGTAACTGATTCATACATGTGATAGCCGCAGTTGCTCCCCATGTTTATGCCACTTACTACCTGCGTACATCAAATTTGTAACCCACAGTAAACTTAAGAGCGACACTGTTTTGGGAACAGATACTGCACAATAAACAACGAGGGGATCCGCCACAACTTCTAAGTTCTAAGCAGTAGGACTCATCACAAAAAACATAAAACAGACTAGGCATTCTCAATCACTAGTTGGCTAATTAAGTCCAAGGCAAGCATCATCCATGGCATAGTTACTACTGTGCAACCAAGAAGGAATCTGAAAGTCTGAACAGAATCATCAACAGCATTCTTCTAAGTGTCAGTTTTGAAGCCGGAGATGACAGGCAGAGAGCTACCAGGTCAGGAACTGAAGGAAACAGCGCTCCGGAGATTCCTAAGGAGGTACAATCAGCAGGAGTTCCTGCACAGCACAGAGCCAGCTTTATTCTCCCGCAAAAATTACTCAGAGATTAAATATTGTTTAGGAAGAGCTCAAATAATTCGAACCAGAAACTCCATAGGCCGTCGCTCCATCAATTTCCACTCGCTGAGCTGATATCGGATGCCGCCAAGTAATACTGTGGCTCACGGCTGACTTCTCTCTGCAAATTGTTTGTAGCTAATTAGCTGATAAAGCACCGATGAAATCTAATTCCGCCATTCACAAACTTCAGAATCAATCGCTATTCATACAGGAATTTCCGATCACCACTCCAACTCTCACCACTCGGAACTCGAATTGAATTTCCATCGCAATTCTATACCTACAGCTAAAATCAAAAGACTAACGGAGAAGGAAATAACGAGAACGCAAATGATGAAAAAAACGTACGAATCAGGAGCGCAAACCAGTACGTGGAAGCGACGGGAGGAGACCAGGACTCGAACTAGGGAGCGAAGCCCAGGCGCGTCGATACCGTCGTCGTTGGTGACCATGACCGTCGGCAGGTGATGATCGGAGATGGAAACGGAGTTCTCCATTCTTGATCGCGACGGAGGCACAAGGGAAGACCAGGAGGAGGAGGAGGAATCGCTGGCGCTCCGGCAACTGGCCAAATGAGAGAAGAGAGTGCGTTTGGCGGAGGCGGAAGAACGAGGGAATTTGGCCGCGAATCTTCGCCTTGCGTTTCCGTTAGAGTTTGCTGCGTTTGGTGGTCCGTGAAGGGAATATGCTGCGGTAGCTGGAAAACCATTTACGATCATTTTTTCCCCGTTAAATAATTTTCTTCCAGCAATAAAAATTCAAATAAAATGCTTGTACTTTTGGAAATTTTGAGTAATTATTTTTTCCAGCGAATTTTGTAATTTGTACTCCCTTGGTTTGGCGACTCCTATGAGTTTCTGTCTTTATCTCGACACCTTTGGTCTTTACAAATGTTTTCAAATTAGTTCATAATTATATTCATTCTCATTTACCACCTTTTAAACAATAAACATTCACTAGCTTCATAACACGTTTTAGAAGTCTAATTATGTTTTCATCGAAGTATTCGCCAGAAGTTGGTGAGATTATTTTTAGGTTGGCACGTTGTGGGGAAGAAATATTAAAACACCCTAATCCTTTGTCCAAATTGTGATTCTTGTTTCAGAACTTTTGATTAAGAATATTATTTGTTCAAATGCTTGTACTAGATATGCTTTGTCCAATCCTCGACATCGCTCACCAATTCAAAACCTTCTCAAAACACTGTAAACGGAATCCTAAGTTGTCCTCCTTCACAGTTTTCCAATGTCGCTACCGAAAATCCATACCATATCTACTCAATGTTGGCGAGTTTTGTATCGGGACCGAGTTGCGTCCGCTTTAGTATTTTTTTTTTCTTTCACTTTTTCCTTTTTGTTGAGCATGCTCACAATTGAATCATAATCCATGGGTATCCAACCTAATTCGATCCGGTCAAAGCGACTTTAAACCTACTTTAGCATGATAAATATTCTCTTTTTTTCTTCTTTTGGTTGGGAAGACAATTGAATCCGAAGTAACGAGTGTTGTATTGTGAGCAATCTTTATCCACTTTCGTAGTTGGAGGGTTGGACCAAGTGTTAATTTGTTAAAATATTGTTCAAAGCGAGTTGAATACATTGTTGACCAGTTTTAGATCGAAAGCCTGTTTTGTACGCTTTAATGGTTTTTTTTAATTTCTCATTATCCTTTTCGTTGAGAATGACAATTGAACTCTGACCTATTGTTGACGGGTTTTCATATCGAGAGTGAGTTTTATCCGCTTTTGTAATTGACACGTTGAGTAAATTGTGAATTTGTTAAAACTAGGTCGACCTGATTAAAGCGAGTTGAAAGCAGTGTTGAGAGTTTGGGGTCATGAGCGACTTTTATCCGCTTTAGTATTTCATATCTTTTTCCTTTTGGTTGGGAATGACAGTTGAGTCCAAACACATGGGTATACAACCTAGTTCGACCCGACCAGAGCGACTTGAACCCGATTTTACAGGTTTTTCGGCAGGAGCGAGTTTATCTGTTTTTGTAATTGGCGGGTTGTGTCAAGTGTGAATTTGCCCAAAACTCGGTTCAACTAGGTCAAACGAAGTTGAACCTGGTGTTGACGACTTTTGAGTCGGTAGTGAGTTTTAGCTTTAGTGTTTTTCATTTCGTTTTTTCCTTTTGTTTGAGAAAGATAAAATTGTACTTACCATATTTTATTCTTTTTCTAGAAAACATAATTTGGTTTCATTTATATCATTATAAAAAATAAATTGAAAAATAGTATTATTTAATACGAAATAAATCTAACGTGATCCATTTTAAATACCTTTATATTTTTAGAATTTGTATTCAAATTATATGTTAGAAATCTCTTTTAGTCATTTAACATTACCTCTTATATTAGAAAGTAATTCTGATAGTTTTTCAGGTAAACACTCAACATTTGTTTTTAAATACTTCTTGAAAAGATTTAGAGAAGCTCCGTCATTCTGCAAAAGTTACATCAGGATCAACTAATAGTCATACAAATTGAAACAACAGCGTTATGAAAGAAGTTTAAACATAAATAATCTATTTGACAACCCTTCTTCCTTATGCAAGTTCATCGACCATATGCTATTGTAAATAACAAACCTATAAAAAGAATGAAATAAGATTACTTTCACTTTTGGATCAACATTAAAACTATTACTTTTTAAAATATTTATTTTTCTGATACGCGAATCGATAGCGAGCAGGCTTTGCTAGTTTCGATAATCAAAGCCCAAAATCGGTGTCCAATGAAATGGACGGCTGCCTTTTGCGTTTATGGGAAGACTTCGTTTCTCAAATTTGTTAAATGATTCATCGCTTGCATCGACAACGTTTTAACTAGAAAGCTGATGTTAGAAGTGTTTGCCTAAACTTTATGTTTTTTGGGGAAAATATTGTGTATTGTAGTATTTTGTAAATTTTAGTAGTACCTTGGGTATTTTGGGAAACAATCAAAATAATTTAATGTATATTTATCTCACTAGGAAGAGGGCGGTAAAGTAGGTATGATGAGTCTATATTTTTTGACAAAAGATAATCATACATTGATTCGAAAAATAGATAGTTACATCCTGAAATTCAGCCAGGCTTGAGAATCAAAGAATCGACTCATAGTCGGATACAAAGACAAGGCCTTTCTAGCTACTAAATGAGTTATCTGATTGTTACAACGACCTACAAATCGAACACTAAACCCAACATGAATGGCGAAGTAATGCACAATTTCTTCAAGAATAGCCCTCATCCGATTATCTCTTATATCAGCCTGTATGATTTTGTCAATGACCACTTTGGCATCGCCTTCAAACCTCATCTCCGTAAAGCCTAGGCCCAAACACCATACAATAGCCTCCCGGAGGACAAGTAGCTCAACCACCATAGAATCATCAATCAACGGAAACTGAACCCCTTCGCCAATAGGACCTCCCTAGTTAGGTTCATTATAAGCATCCCGCATGTTGAATGAGACCCACTCCTTTTCGCCACATCCCACGTACAAACAGCCACAACAGAGCCATCAGGGCCCATGGGATGAATAAGAGGGTTGGAGGACTGGAGTACTGGGTCCACCAGCAAACTAACCCATTCTTGGACCTGATGGTTAAATTTTCGCATCACAGCCGGGATCCCAAACTGTTTGCCCTCAAAGACTACCCAGTTCCGGGATCTCCATATCCTCCAAAGGATAGCAACAATAGCCATGAACAAAGACGGTTGATGTATTAGAGTTAGGGTTGGAAGTTTGGTACCGGTATTTGGGATATACTGAATACCGTACCGAATTTGTCTATATTTGTTATTACCGAATACACGTATTATTTCTTGGGATTGGGATTGGGATTGAATTTCAATTGTAATTTGGTATTAGGGATTATGGGATTGAGATCGGTATATACTAAAATACCGATCAATACCGAAATATAAGCAAGTGTGTATTTTATCCTCTCAACTAGACTCTCTCGTTCACTACTAAACAACCCTGAACCACCAAGAATGTCACTTAATTATACATAGATAATTTCATCTTTGTTTCACAACTCAAAAGTCCACATCCAACTCAATTTTGACTTTTCAATTTAAGTCACTCTCATCTCGCACCTAATAACTTGTAATTTTCATAACACCAAAAAGCAAACACTAGTATTAATTGACTATCAGCTTTCAATTCGTCAATTTAAAGATTACCAATAACAAGAACTTGAGATGTCACATCTCCTTCATTCTCCTTATCCATATCCTAGCTCTAGGAAAACTCAAGACTCTTTGCTTAGTCTCTTTGCCCTAAATTAAACAATCAAATCTAGTTTTGTATATTTAATTATTTATTTCAAATATAATTAATTTTGTATTCGATAATACCGGCTGGGATACCAAAGTACCGATTGGGATACCGTAATATTTAGGGATTGGGATTGGGATACCGAAATTATTTAGGGATTGGGATTTGGATTGACTTTCGGGTATAATTCGGTATACGAGATTTCGGGATTCGGGATTGGGATACCGATACCGTATCGATTTCCACCCCTAATTAGAGACATCAACTTTTTTAGAAAGAGCGGGAACGTGTGCCGAGGCAAACCCTGCCCAAGTTATTCAAGGCCGGAATGGTCCCAGAGAGCGCGAGCAACTGTGCAGTCAAGAAACAAATGTTCCATTGTTTTAGAGGCTACCCAACAAACAGGACACCGAGGGAGCACAGAGACATTCCTATCTATGAAGGCTTCAGTCGTGGGGAGAATTCTATCAAAGATTTGACAAAAAACACTTTGAGCTTTGGAGGAATATTAGCCTCCCACAGAGGAATCCAGCTTACCCTATCCATCCAACTAGCCATTGACTTCCAACGACGATTGCTTTGCTGATCCAAAAGAACCGCAAAATGGTAGGCCGACTTGATCGTGAAAAGCGCGTAAGAGGTGGCATGCCAGATCAATCGATCTTTAATATTTTGTCGATGTAGAGGAATAGCATTGATGGCTTGACAGGTAGATGGGTCAAACCACTGGCAAAGTTTAAGGTCGCACCACCTCCCCTCCCCCGGACAAATGACCTCCGCTACTGGTAGATCCCCTCCTCGATTATCACCCTTGGATTGTAAATAGGGGAAATAGATGTAGCTGAGGAATCTAGTTGGCAGAAAGCAGAGAGGGGTTTTGATCATTACCGATTTTCCATCGTAGTCCCATTTCTAACAAATGACAGCCATAAAGGATACTCTGTCAAACCCAAGATGGTCGGGAGCCAGCCGTAACGGAGAGGAAGGCCCCATTATTAAAATACTTCCCTTTGTACACCTGGGCTTAGAGGGACTGAGGTTCATTGAGGATCCGCCAGCCAATTTTGGCTAAGAGAGCCTGATTAAAATGCTCAAATCAACGAAACCCCAACCCCGTCATGCTTACTTTTGCATATATTGCGCCAGGACATCCATCGAATTCTAGAGTGACCCTCTTCAACATCCCACCAAAATCGGGTCACATGCTTGTATAGGAGACGACAAAGAGAGAGAGAGGTAGCTTGAAACAGGATATAACATGCAAAGGCAAAGCTAAAGCAACAGACTTAATCAAAGTCTCCTTAGCAGCCTAAGGCAGAGTCATGCGCTTCCATCCCTGAAGTGGCTCCAACAATTTCTCCTCCAAATAGTGGAAGGTAGCCATTTTCGATTGGGCTATCAGCCTTGGAAGCCCGAGGTATTTATCATGGACTCCCATAGCCCCGACACCCAGAATTTCTACCAAGA